AGCCCTAAAGCCCTAAAACCTAAACCCTAAACCCTAAACCCTGAACCCCAAACCCTAAACCCGAACCCTAAACCCTAAACCCTAAACCCTATACCCCATTAAAGCCTATACCCTATTAAACCCTGAACCCTAAACCCTAAACCCTAAACCCTATGCTGGACGGCTTGGGTGTGGGCAAACCGACCCTTTGGCGCGTAGTAGTAGTAGTAGTAGTAGTAGTAGTAGTAGTAGTAGTAGTAGTAGTAGTAGTAGTAGTAGTAGTAGTAGTAGTAGCAGTTGTTGTTGTTGTTGTTGTTGTTGTTGTTGTTGTTGTTGTTGTTGTTGTTGTTGTTGTTGTGGTCGTGGTCGTCGTCGTCGTCACAGTAAAAGTGTTCGTCGTCGTCGTCGTCGTATTCGTCGTCGTCGTCGTCGTCGTCGTCGTCGTCGTCGTCGTCGTCGAAGGCCTTCATCAGAGTGTGTTTTGTACAACCCTTGCCTTGACACAGTCAACCCTGAACCTCCGAAACCAGCTCAGCAGTTCACTTGCGGGCTCCATGCAAACAACCCTTCGAGACCCCGCCGTCTGCAGCTGTGGCATAGGGTTTTAGGGTTTAGCGTTTGGGGTTTAGGGTTTAGGGTTTAGGGTTCAGGGTTTACACAGAACCTCCACACTTCCCAATGCTCAACTGCTCAACTGCTGAACCACAACCAGGTCCGCCTGGTGGCCGAGGCATGCTTTCGGGCCGGCATTCGGAAGTGCCTGTGCTGCACAGGTAGCCCTAAACCCTAAACCCTAAACCCTAAACCCTAAACCCTAAACCCTAAACCCTAAACCCTAAACCCTAAACCCTAAACCAAGTGCGAGGCCCACCATTCCAAGAGCAGTTTAGCGCCGCAATCCCGAAAGATGACGCAGAAGCTTCCTTCCAACAGCCCTTCGAAGGCCAAACTTACCCCTTCGAAGGCCAAACTTACCCCTATACTTCGAGGGGCCTAACATTACAAGGAGGGGCCCCCTAGGTATTAAGTAGAGTTATAAGTAGAGTTATAAGGACCCTAGTTAGGTGATAAGGATCCTAAACTAGTTTTTACGTCCCACAGTAAGGGGGCCCCTCCTTGTGTCCTTAAGGATTCGAGTGACCTAATTCTTAGGTCCTGGAAGAGTAAGGTTAGCTGTTCGGGCAAAAATTCCGGAAACTCCGCAATTATAAATCATAAGCCTTTATGTAGCCCTAAACTCTAAACCCTAAACCCTAAACCCTAAACCCTAAATGGCGTTGCGGCCCGCCTGCAACGCAGCAATGTCAAAGTTCGACCTCCTGGAGGTCTACCCAAAGGCTCCTACGTATATAGTACCTTTTTGGGGTACTTGGAGGTTCATGGGAACTTATAACCACACTTATAAGTCTACTTATAAGCTGCTTAGGGGGCTTAAGGGGCTTATAAGTAGAGTTATAACTAGGGTTATAAGTACCATGAACCTCCAAGTAGTTTTCCCAGAGATCCCAATATCCCTTACTTAAGGAGTCTGCCATAAATCATAAGCGATCCTTAATATGATTTAAGGCATATTCCTTATATAAGGGGTTTGGGCTCTTCGGGTAGTAGAATCCCCATAACTAACCCAAAACGGAACTACATTGGAGCCTTTGGGTGGAGGGTAGAGGGTGGAGGGTTTAGGGTTTCGGGTTCCTGGTTTAGGGTTTTAGGGTTTGAGGGGAAGGTGGGGAGGGGCGGGGGGCCTATCCGAAAGATTGAGTCAGGGCTTCTCTACGTAAAGGCTCCCTAACACAGTACCCTTTTGCGTACTACACAACCTAGACCCAAGAATAACCGGTGAATGAACAGGGTGCCCTTTTTGGTTAGAAAGGGGCTTGTAAGAGAGCCGAAACCCTAAAAAAGGCTGCGCGTAGAGAGCCCAATACCCCTTAGTTAAGAAAAAGTCTTAAATCATACTCAGGATCCCCATATGATTTAAGGTATATTCCAGAATTCGGGGCTGTGGGGCTCCCTGGTTGCTTCCAGCCCACACCAGGGTTGGGACCTGGCTAGACTTGAGGGTTGAGGGGGTGTGCCACCTTCGATGTAGGGTGAAGGGTTTTAGGGTTTAGGGTTTAGGGTTTAAGGTTTAGGGTTTAGGGCTAAAGGTTTAGGGTTTATAGGGTGCTAGGGCTGAGTCGCACGCAGTCCTGAATGTTGTGCTGCCAGTGGTGTCTAGCATCCCCTGTCCTCGAGATGTGCTCGAGGGTGGGCCGAAGGGCAAGGACTCGCAGCGCTCTACATGGCCCCTTACTCTCGACTACTACAAAACTGATGGAAAAAAAGGAACTCATGGTTCGGGACTTGTTCAAGATTCTAGGCCCTGAACCCTAAACCCTAAACCCTAATATCATGATGTCTTGCGGAAGACGAGAAGGCCCTCAACCCCACTTGGAGGGTTCATGGGCACTGATACCCCCAATCATAACTGTACTTGTAAACCCCCGAAGACCCCTAAGTAGGTTCTAAGTCGACTTGCCCAGAGAGCACAATACTCCTTAATCACGGAACATACCTTAAATTAAAAAGGGATCCTTATAATGTGATTGAAGGTACGTTCCTTAATTAAGGAGCATTGGGCTCTCTGGGTATGAGTGGGGTTCTAAGTACCCCATGAACCTCCAAGCAAGCTCTAGTCAGGGTTTAGGGTTTAGGGTTTAGGGTTTCGGGTTTAGGGTGCAGGGCCATCCGGTTCTGGGAATCCAAACAGTGCGGCCGGGCGACGTAGGGCTTTAGGGTTTTAGCTTGTTTTTTTTTTTTTTTTTGGGGGGGGGGGGGGGGGTAGGGTTTTAGGGTTTAGGGTTTTAGGGTTTTAGGGTTTAAGGGTCTTGGGGTTTAAGGCTTTGGGGTTTTAGGGTTGCCGGGTTTAGGCTTTTAGGGTTTTAGGGTTTTAGGGTTTTAGGGTTTTAGGGTTTTAGGGTTTTGGGGTGTTAGGGTTCTATGCTTCGGTCCCAAGGACAGCTTCATAACTTACCAAAAAAACTCAATTATTTTTACTTCGAACATCCCCACCCTCTCTTATACTCTGGGGTTGGGCACTCCAGGAAAACTCTGGGGCTGGGCACTCCGGGGGTTGGGCACTCCAGGGAGACTCTGGGGTTGGGGGCTGGGCACTCCGGGGACACTTTGGGTTGGGCACTCCAGGAAGACTCTGGGGTTGGGCACTCCAGGGAAACTCTGCGGTTGGGCACTCCGGAGACACTCTGGGGTTGGGCACTCCAGGGAGACTCTGGGGTTGGGCATTCCAGGAGACTCTGGGGTTGGGCACTCCAAGAATTCTCTAGAGTTGGGCACTCCAGGGACACTTTGGGGTTGGGCACTCCAGGGATGAGCGAGGAGTAGACTGGGCGAGGAGAAGAGTTCCGGGTGAGGAGAAGTGTTCCGGGCGAGGAGAAGAGTTGAGTTTAAAATCTAACAACCCCACACCGAGGGTGGGGAAAAAGAGTACACACACACACACATTTTCGGTGACTTCTCTGTGGTCCGTTTCTTGTGCCCTTGCCCCTAGAGGGTTAAGAGTATTATTGTTCAGGTAACACTGGCGCATCGCTGTGAACCCGTCGCCTCTTGATCCAGAGGGAAGCAACTGGTTTAGGGTTTAGGGTTTCGCGAGGGCTTAGAAGAAGCCCAACCCATTCCAGCAGAAAGGCACAAGGGAACCACTGGGGTAAGAGGGCCCCATTTAACTTAGGGTCGCGAAACTAAAGCCCTTCAAAACTTCCAAGCCCTAAACCCTTGCAAACCCGACTTGGTAGCTCAGTGTAACCATATTATAATAGCAAGGGTACAGTACTCTTTGTCTCAGGGAACCCACAACCCAAAAAGGGCGAAAGGTACTACTCAGCTACCAACCCTCGACGCTAAACCCTAAACCCTAAACCCTAAACCCTAAACCCTAAACCCTAAACCCTAAACCCTAAACCAATTCTTGGCTCGCCTGCGGAGTCACGCTGGACATCGCGGAAGAAACTTGGCACAATCTTCCAGCTGGTGCAGCTGCTTATAAGAGGGTCTAGGGTTCAGGGTTTAGGGTTATACCTCCAAGGGATACTATATTGGTTATTAAGGTTCCGAGGTGCTTAGAGTAGGGTTCTGTACCTCCGAGGGCTACTATGTCGGTTGCTAAGGTTTCCGGAGAACCCAGTAAGTCTGAAAGTACAGTGATACATGCAGGTCCTTCCTGTAGGTGTGGACCCCGGGCCTAGTGCCTTGTGTATGAGCGCGTCCCGAACCAAATGCTGGCGATTTGTTTCTGTAGTCCTCGACCTTTAGCCCTAGAGGCCCCCACACGCTTTCTACACGATGGTTGCACTTGTCGATTCCGGATGCAGAGCGACGTGCTTCCAGATGTCAAGGGTTAGGCTGGACTGGTGCAGAGGGCTTAGGGTTGTTTGCTTTTTTTGGTCTTTTGGACACTAAACCCGGAACAGGCTTAGAGCTCAGGGTCCCTAGACTCTCAGGATGACAACTCGAATTACTCGGGAACTAGGTACTTCTTCTCCGCCTACCAACACCCCGCTCATGCGTAACAGGCTCATCTATTCACTTGGTTGACTTCTGAAACTCTGCTAAAAGCTTAACTTTTAGGCTCCTTAGTGTAGTTTCGACAAAAACCAAAAGGTTGAAGTCCTAAGAGACCCTAAAGCCTAAACCCGAAACCCTAAACCCCAACCCCTAAACCCTAAACCCTAAACCCTAAACCAGAAGAAAGCCAAGTTCAGGGGACTACAGCTGGGGAACGAATTCAATCCCTTATTCCCTACCCAGTAGGCCCGTTTGGGGGGACCCGCCTGCAGGCAGATGCAGGGTTTAGGGTTAGGGTTTAGGGTTTAGGGTTTAGGGTTTAGGGTTTAGGGTTTAGGGTTTAGGGTTTAGGGTTTAGGGTTTAGGGTTTAGGGTTTCGGGTTTCGGGTTTAGGGTCTTTTACACATTTCGCGATGACCTGAGCTCCAGCAAGGCATGCAATTCTGCCATGCCCAGGGTTAGTTCTGGTACTCCGCCATGGCCTTCTTCAGGGCAAGCCACCTCTGATACTGATTGTAGAGCCATCCGGCCGTCCCCACCATGGCCAAGGACAGGAGGGCAAGCAAAGACAGCTCATACTCCTCCCATCCTTCAGCTGCCTCAACCTGCACCTCGGTATCATCTGCCTTCTCATCTGCGCGCATGGTCTGGATCTCAGCATTGTACGCCAAGTCCAACGCACTGTTGGAATCATGACCTGCTTGCTTTGCCACCTCCCTGTCGTGGAGAAAGCTGGCGAAGCCACCCCTGCGCGCTTCGAGATCGAGACTCGACGGTCTCGACGCGGCCAAGAAGTCGGTCAGCTCAGCCTTACTCCATGGACGAGCCGGCGGAGCTGCCATCAGCGCCGTGTACGCGCTTTGCCCCCTGCCGCTCTGCAGAGCAGCATCGCCGATGCAGCATACTCCGGACCGCACCATGGCTCAACTGGAAGCAAGGTGACCTTGGTAACTTCTGTAGGTCAGTATGTAGTAAGTGAGCAAAAAAAACCATATACGAGAAGCGCACCCTGAGAGGGCTTGAGGTTTAGGTGCTCCCAACCTGGACACTTTTTTACATTAAACCCTAGACCCTAGACCCTAGACCCTAGACCCTAGACCCTAGACCCTAAACCCTAAACCCTAAACCCTAAACCCTAAACCCTAAACCCTAAACCCTACCCAGACTTCAACGGATCGTGAGACGCGCGCTGCCTCGCCTGGCTCCGGCGCAGGCCCACTGTTCAACAGCCACAGAGCAGCCAGTCACAACTAAACAGAAAAGGGTTTGGGTTTAGGGTTTATAGGGTTTATAGGGTTTATAGGGTTTATAGGGTTTATAGGGTTTATAGGGTTTATAGGGTTTATAGGGTCTATAGGGTTCATAGGGTTTACAGGGTTTAGGGTTTAGGGTTTATGGCTTAGGTCGTGGGGTGTACTTGGAGGTTCATAATCCTCGTAACCCAGTAATAACTGTACTGTTAACCCACTTATAAGACCCTTTAAGTGCCCTGACATGGTTCTCATTGGGTTTCTTGTACAGTAGTAATAATTGAGTTAGTAAGTACCATGAACCTCCAAGTAGAAAGACAGAAACCCTAAACCCTAAACCCTAAACCCTAAACCCTAAACCCTGAACCCTGAACCCTGAACCCTGAACCCTGAACCCTGAACCCTAAACCATCCGACTGTCATTTGCAGAGGTTGGGATTCAATTTTTTGAGGTCTGGCACGCGGGGCCTCCGACAGTTTGGGGAGCAGGCGACCCCGACGCCCTACTCCTAGAAGGTTTAGGGTTTAGGGTTTAGGGCTTGGGGCCCTACCTCGACCTCGGCTTCTTGTAGTTTCCCTCTTTTGGGTACCCCTGCTTTATGGCTAGTAACAGCATAGTATGATAAAGATGTGGTTAGAAGGAAACGGCAGGATCAAAAAGGAACACCCTAAACCTTACACCGTAAACCCTAAACCCTAAACCCGAAACCCTAAACCCCAAATTGGGGGCTCCAGGTATCTAGACCCAAGGGTAACATAGGAATAAAAAAGGGTGCCTTTTGAACTTGAAGGGCTTGAATGGGAACCTAAACCCCACAAAAAGGGAACAAGGGCCTCCTCCTTTGGGTCCTAGTAACCCTACATCCTAAACTCTCCCTGAACCCTAAACTTTCCCTAAACTTTCCGACTTTCCCACAACCCAAAACCCAAAACCCAAAACCTTAAAACAACAAGGGAATAAGGGCCCACTCCGGGTTCTAGGTTCTAGGTCTAGTCCCCAGCCCTAAACCCTAAACCCTAAACCCTAAACCCTAAACCCTAAACCTAAACCCTAAACCCTAAACCCTAAACCCTAAACCCTAAGGAGAGAGCGACATGAAGGAGGGAGGGAGGACAGAGGCATTTGGCTCCACTCAGAAAGACTAGGATGGCCCCTAAAACCCATTGAAAATCATTCCTACTACACATGATCCTCTTGGTTTAGGGTTTAGGGCTTTTAGGGCTTTTAGGGTTTAGGGTTTAGGGGATGGTTTAGGGTTTAGGGTTAAATATCCCACGGGCCTACCTAGAAGACAATGACAAAGTCACCTGCGCGCTTTCTCTACCTTGCACGACAAGGCCGTTGACAGTCGTACGACTGGTAGTGCTATGCGCATCATCGATCCCAACTCAAGTGTTGCACCTCGGGGCGTATCTTTTTAAGTATCTTTTTAAGTTTGACATAGTTTTTGGCGTATTGGCTGAGGTGGTGATTGGTATTTTGCGTAGTTAGTACCAAATGAATACAAAGACAAACGACGACAGGCACGATTGCCGGATCGTACTGGTGATTCCATAGGCTCCTTTAAGCCTCTCAGTGTTGCGGCTTTCGCGTTCCCTTAGCAATATGGCTTTCCCTGAAGAGTGCCAAAGAAGGGACTGGTTTTTGGAGAACTCAACATACACAGTCCCAAACCCTGAAATTCCAACACCTTTTACCTGAGGCTTTATCGTTTGCTGGTCTCCGTTCTAGGATGCTTTTGTAGCCTAAGGCGCTTACAAGGCAGGGGTGTGTAAAGAGACCTTTTTCCCTTGCAAGCCTTATCGGCGTTTCGTAAACCTTGTCGCAAAAGCATTTATGACACTTGCATAGAAACACGTCTGCTAGGCCAATGCCAGGTGCAGGTTCAATTTACGGACATGGCAACCCTACATTTGAAGATGGTGTTTCAACCTTAAACCGAAAACCCCCTCCCAGAGCCCCATTCCCCTTTAATGAAGGAAGCCTTACAGTAGACAGCGCTCCTTGACTTAAGCTCACAATGGCCCCAAAAACACCTTAAACAAATAAGGCCTTTGAGCCCAAACACCTTTGAAGAAGAGCCCTTGGAGCCTTAGGGTATGATGTAAGGTTTTTTGCCTCTATCAAAGGTATTGTTTCCTAAACCTGAACCCTAAACCCTAAACCCCAAACCCTAAACCCTAAAGCATCTTCCCTGCCAGGCTCGAGCTGGGTGGCGCTTCACGTAAAGCATTAAAGGCGTGGACGGCAAGACTGAGTCGCTTTTTAGGTTTAGGGTTTAGGGTTTAGGGTTCGGGGTTTAGGGTTTAGGGCTAGACCGAAGAGTAACTTGGGAATAAGATGACTTCGAAATGAAAGGGTACCCTTTTTGGTTTGAAGGGGATTACAAGGGAACCCCAACCCTAAATTAAAAAAGGGGCCTAGCGTACCCCTACCATAATCCCTATTCAGGGCTGTGAGTATATGAGGGAACATCCCAATATACATACTTATCCTAGACCTCCACTTGCTCAAAGACAGGGATTTCAGGAGACCCTAGACGTGCACATGGTCCTCGTAGGTTTAGGGTTTAGGGTTTAGTGTTTAGGGTTGCATGTGGTCTGGAGTTTGAAGTTGGCTTGCCGCTGCCACTTCCTCGCGATGGAAGCTTAGCCTCTCATCACAAGACGTGCACACGGAGATCGGCATCGGGCTTGCTGTGCCGTCAAATTCGTGTACTCAAAGCAGACGAATGTGCAACCTGTTGACTACTTCCCTTCAGGGGTTCATCTCGTTCAAAGCCTCTCTTCTCCGGAATGCAAACACAGATGGCTGTGGCTGTGGACATATGTGTCCCTCAAGTTGTAGCAGCGGGAAAAGAGAGCAAACTATAGTCCGGGAACACGGCTAATGGCTGGGAGACAAGAGCCAATGGAAAGGTCAAAACGAAGAAGCACCTTGCACAGCGCACCCAGATCGCTTGAAACATCCAGAGAGTTTAGGGTGCATGGTTGGGCTTGGCTTGGGGTGGGGGGGGGGGGGGGGGGGGGGGCGGAGGACGGTGACAAGCAATGTGGCATGCAAGATGGAGCTCCCCTGGTAGGGCCTAGGGCAAGTGGATGCGAAAGCTATTAGAGCCAGAAGGACAAGTGGATGCTAAAGCTATTAGAGCCAAAAGGACTCTAAACCCTGAACGGTTTTCAGAACTTCAAATCGAGGGACTTTACTCGCAGCCAATTTCTGTAGTCACATGCGGGGTTTACGAAAAATCGGGTACCTTATTGGGGTCCTTGTTATCAGGGAATCCCACTGTTTGGGGGGGGGGGGGGGGCCTGTTTAGGGGTCCCCTATTTTCGTCCACCCCCATATAAGAACAATAGGCCATTAGGTTCCCAATAGGTCATTAGGTTCCCGGGGCCGGAACGCTAACTGGGGGTCCGGGCATGGGTCGAAAGGGAGGCTGCCAGGAAATTGTGGACACATTGGATGTCGCGGCCGCAAGGGCGGGGGCTTCAGAGACAGGTTAAAGTGTTTACTGCTTCGGTTTAGGTAGCCCTCAGGATCCACGTACCTATGTAAGATATACTTGGGCTTCAAAAGGGGTTCCCATAAAGGAGCTTTAGGGCCCAAGTACATACTATGATAGGTACATGGATCCTCAGGGTAGGGCCGGGGGTTTAGGTTGTGGGGGCGGGGTCCAGGGTCATTTTTCGAGTCTGGGTTGCTGTCGGAGCTGTACAGACGAAATGCGCGCAGAAATTGCGGCTGGGCCTCCGTAGAGGGGGCACTACTTCCATTGCGAGAGTGCCCTCACATGTAGTTGACCCTGTGTTCATAGACCTTTACACCCAGTTGTGTTTCGAGGCGGAACGGAATATTGTATTTCTGGCTGGTCAAGTATGAAACAAGTGGTACGTCACACCAAACCCAATAATAGCTTCTGCTTTTGAGAAGCCATTCGGAGAGTTCGTGTAGTAGCAAATAGAAATTCTGTACACCCATCCCAAAACAAGAAACTAAGACTATAAAGGTGTAGGAACACCTCGGGGAACTTGCTCGGTGCTGTGCAGTCTCATCCCTTCTACCTACGGCAAAGCGCCATACACAGGGATCTAGATGAACCATGAACCATAAAGGTTTATGTCTAGTAGAGGGTATGAGAACGGAGTACTCAGGTTCATCTTGTCCGCGAGGTAGGCCGAACCCTCGAAATCCTTGAGTTCTGACATCCGCAGTTCCTTCGGTTTTTTTCGGGCTGAGTCTTAGGGGTAATATATGTCCATATGCTACGTAACGAAGCATGTGGCCAACCTGGGCTAGTGCTGACAGATAGAGGGTATTCGAGGTATTTGGGGTTCAGGGTTTGTAGTGGAGGGAATTTGGCGTTCAGGCTGTAGGCTTCAGGCCGGGATAGGTTCCGCGGTCAAGCTACACCAGAAGCATCTGTGCTCAACAGTGCCCAGCCGCACAACGCGCGTCCAGCACATGCCTTGGCGCCTAGAAACAAGTGCTTAGCTTCTTTTACTTGGGGGGGTTCCAGATTTTCGAATCATATTACAGGAACCATAAATTCCCAAAGGCTCCATGTACCTGTATAGTATATACTTGGGCCCTAAAGCTACCATATAGGAATCCCTTTAAGACCCAAGTATATACTACATAGGTACATGGATCCGTTGGGATTAGGACT